ACTTTGCGGGGCTTTTTTCTTCAGGCAAGATCGTGTCTGACTTTGAGGGCACGATCGTGCCTACGTAACATCCGAATTTGACAAAACTTTCTTCATGAAAGTTGTAGATAATGAAGTCCTCTATCCACTTCCATTTTCCGAATGTGATTTTAATCATCCAATCATGAGATATGATCAAAACGGTGGAAGGTGTCTTTCTGAAATCGCAGCAGAGATCATCTGATTTCATCGTCTGTTTTCATCTTCTTCCTCTCAGATTCTCGCAAAGGTGTCTTCATATGATTTGTAGCCCTTGAAGTTGGATTTCCTATGCAACTTTAATCGTGTCCATTGGTTGTTCCTACGAAGAGATAAGCCTGACTGATTGACAGAAGGTCATCCTGATCATCGTCTTCAAGCTTCATTCATCTTCTTTTGACCCCGTAGCCAATCCTAGAGCTCTTTTTCCTTCAAATCTTCATTGTGAATCTTCCGGTGACCTCCAAAGCTATCAAATCATTCTCAAATGCTTCTCAAATCATCCCGATTGTTCCTCAAGTGCCGGTACCGAACTTTAAAATCCCGATATTGACTCCAAATGACACAAAACTCGAACCAACGCCTGTTAAACATAACTTGAGCTAAAATTGAGACTTGTAATACCTTAAAGCTAGGAAAATCATCAAACGCCGATCTCAACACGCATCAAATGCGTGTCTAAATACGGACTTATCAGATTCCCCCACACTTAAGTCTTTGCTTGTCCTCAAGCAAACTGAATAACGGGACTTATAATAATCACCACACGGAATCAAAATAGTTAGCATGCACACGTAGCTACAGAGATACTCACAGAACAGACAGACTAAACCAAGAAAATTCTTCCCTAAACTACATCTTTGTACTCTAGCTAAAATATTTGACAAAATTATTCACAACATCCTCAAAGTAGCGACAGCACACACAAATAAACTAGCTACCGATCAGAAGGACTTGTGAAGGTGGTGGTGAATCGTTCATGGATAACAAAAATAGTCTCTTTCTTTTGAGAGATTGGAATATTCTAACAAAGACTCAATGTATTCAGGTATTTCGGGGCTATTCTTAGGAATAAGGAACTCAGTAGGCCACAATTTAGGAAAAATCATCTAAACCTATGCAGAGTAGACATGGTGTACAACTAAGCTAAACTGTCGCGGCACATTGGTGCTTTGACGTATACTTGAAGTACGCGAAGGACTAAAGCTAATTTTTGCAATAGCCTCCAAGTTCATTTAATTAGGTTCAATTTTCCTTGTCATGTTGGCACGAGAACGCCGTTTCTTTCGAAAGATACCCAAGTCTCATCTTACGCTTTTTGACCGGGACTCCCATTCCCTTTTTCGCAAAGTAAGAGGTCTAGCTATATTAATTTTTCACCTTTCGGATTCTCACTAGACATTACCCCATTCTAATCTCGGCCTCACCAAGGAAAAATAGCAATTAAGGTTCATTTATTTAAAAGTGAATCCATGCCTACAATGCAATCCTCAAAAGTATCAAATTCTTAAAAAGTGACTGCTCTTACCCCATTTGGGGCATAGGAACAATGCCAAAAATGGCTCCTACACAAAATTCTCTAAACTTAGCAAATTAATCCCATAATTCCCTAAACATCAAGACTAAGTCAGAAATATTCACGGGTAAGGAACACAGGCCATTTGGCTATGTAGCTCAATTAATTGGGTAACAAAGAACAGTCAGGCTCAAAATAGCTTCTCCTAAAGGGTTCTTTCAGGTGGGGTGGATGATTATTGGAAAATTCAATGGGTGACTAATGCCTTCATCCTTTCAACAATTAGATTACCGTGCAAGCAATTTAAGCCTAAATACTTTAAGAATGTTCTAAAAGCATAGTCAAAACGCTAGCCAGCTCACAAAGACACAGTTTAAAGAAAAATTTTCAAAAATTTTGACATGAATTTCCTTATGAATATACAACTAACACCTGCGCATGCTAACTCTAAAAATCACATGTAACAACTACTGCTCGAATGCCCAATTCACTCCCCCACACTTAAACTTTGGCATCGTCCTCGATGACCAAAAATACACTATGCACAAGGGGGTAAAGAGGATAGGGTCACGCATGCTCAACTTAACTATAGTCAATTATTACAAACAGGCGATTATTAGAGTCACAGAAACATCCCTAAGGCGTTGGTCGGTGCAGAACTAAACTGAGTCAAGTGATCCTCGACACATCATCCCCAAAGCAAGACCCTGAGCTGCAAAAACAAAACACACAAACACAAAAACAAACCCAAAAAAAACACCCCAGATTTTTTTATTCGGGGGTTTTCTGAAAGCAAACAAACAAACAAACAAACAAAATGCAGAAATAAGCTTGGGTTGCCTCCCAAGTAGCGCTATTTTTAACGTCGTTTGCCCGACGCAACTTCATAAGCTCTCAAATTGCAAAGACTGTAGTGGTGCACTAACAATCAACGTTTCTAGCTTCCTTTCAACAAATGCCATTAAGTGGCGCAGATCCTTAAATTCTTTAGTAAATGTAGGTAGCACATGGTCTTCATAACCCTCATCAGCACAGAAGTGAAGTATGAAACTCTCATCCTCTTCGGGTGGACAGAGAACATGAGTGAAAACTTTGATTACTCTAGGTGTCACTGGAAGCTCAAAACATGTCTCCAAGCAAGGAGTAGGAGCAACACCGTAATCAAACTGCACCACAGAAAAGTCTTCTTCTTCCTCACAAATATCATGAAAATTCACAACCTCTCCTACAGACTCTGTATCACTCCTCATGAAGGCATCCCAACTCTCGTTAACACCGTTCTCATCAGGGTCTTCAAAAGCATCTAGGAGGGTATCATCCATCATATTTCCACCTTCACAGTCCGACTCACTCACATGATCATCCATATTGGTCTCCTCAGGTTGGGCTTTTGTGTCGCTAGGATGGGATCTCTCGGATTCCTCAGATAAAGCCTTTGCAATCTGCCCCAATTGATTCTCCATGTTCTGCATCCTTGTCTCAATCGTTTGCATCCTTGAGTCTGCTCTCAGTTGATTTTGTGCTAATTGTTTGAGTGATTCTTCCAAGCTAGAAAGTCTCTTTAAATCTGCCTCCTCCAGATCCTCTTGTTGATTATGAGGCTCATTACTCGGGAAGTATGTAGGAGTGACTGAAACATTTGTATTCGTAAATTGTGGGGAGGATGAAGAAGGGTATGCAGTTTCCCGGAAAGGATGGTCATATAGAGGTTTGATGGGGCAAAGACATAAATGGTGACCTCCTCCACAGAAGGAACAAATGCTATCCTTAAAATATTCAGATATTTCCTTAGGCGTTTTAGTTTGAAGAATAAATTCAAGAATGGAGCCTGGTCTTACGCTTACCCAAGGGTATTGTGATGAAGGATAGTAAGAATCGGAATGAAAAGGTTGCGTGGTTGGAGTGTATGGATAAGAAGGCTGAATATTTTGTGGTGTAGGAGAGTAATATTGATGAGGTATGTAAAGTTGAGGAGAACTGTAAGGAGGACATGGTGTAAATGGTGAATATTCTGTGGAGGTTTGAGGATAAGGTGTTCCTCCGTAAATCGAGCTGAATGAGTTCATCTCATCCTCTTAAGAACAAGTACCTGAAAGGTTAGCACAGAAAAAATCCTACGAAGAACTAAAAAAAAACTAACTAAAAAATCTCGCTGAAATTAATTAACCCTTAAAACCGACACCGTCCCCGGCAACGGCGCGAAAAACTAATGTGTGTTTTCTCGCACTTAAAATAAATCGTAACATAGTGGTGTAAGTACGAGTATCGTCTCCACGGGGACGGACAAAAGGGAATCAAGAATTAGTTAAATTCAGCGATTAAAAAAAATAAAATAAAAGCGTCGTGCGAGATTGGTTGGTTTGGAAAATAAAACTAATGCGAACAATTAAACTAGGGGGTTCCTTTCTAATTAATGACGAAGGGAATAGGGATCGATTCCGGGGTAACCAGATTTCTGGCAGATCAGGCCTAATTACATTAAATTAATTTAATTGAGCCTAGCTAATCATTACTAAGTTCTTACCACTCTCGCGGCGTATAGTACAATAATTTAAGGGACCAGGTTGATCTCTCATGCGAAAGGATCCTAAATTATTGCCAAGACGAGCGAGCTTACGGCCCCTTAAGCGCTACTAATCTCTTAGCGAACGATTAAGTATGTGTGAATGTGTCCTAGAACAAATTAGATCTCTCTTAATTTATTCTACATGCAATTGTAATTCTAGTCGCGATTCTAGGTTACAAAAGATATCAATTAAATTATTCAAACACAAATTAAACGGCATTCATGCAATTAAACCGAAAAGAATCTAGCCATACATCATGATTAACCCCTTCATCAATCCCAAATCCCTAATTAAAACTACTCACAATTCATAATTGAAGAATCAATAGAATTGGAATAAAAAGAATTAATTGTCATTAATTAAAAAGGTGGAACTTACAAAGAATCCCAAAAGATTGATGAACAAGGCTGAAAAGCCCTCTAAAATTCGTGCTAGGCACTCTCTCTAAGCTCCCCCCTTGAAAACGGGGGTTTATAGGTTGTGTTGGTCCCAGTTTAGCAGACTAACGATCAGCTAGATGAACATCATCGATAGACAGAAGAGAAGGATTTCATATAATGATATAAGATTTATCGAGAACAGTGAAACCTTCTTTCTGTAGTATCGAGAAGTAAATTTGGCAGCGTAAGGCTAATGTGTATTGATCGATATCGGTACCTGTACACAAGGCGCGTATTTATAGGCGCTGTACAGGTTACCGATTTAGGTAAACCTTGGAAGTTGGGCCAAGGCCTTTTTGGGCCTTATTCCCTTGACCTAATTTGCTACATAATAAATACTAATCTAATACCATAAATGGTATAACTAGTCTACTTTATTTAAACAAGACATTACAGACAAACTTGACCCACAATAAAAGTTCTAACAATCTCCCCCTTTGTGGTCAAGTGCTGTCTTGCTGGGTTTCTTCACTTCTGAGCTTTGTAATAGTTCTTTCTGAGATTAAGTGCGTGCTCATAGTTTCTGAGTGAATTTCGTTTATCAAGTTGTTTCTGGATAGCCTGTAGAATTTTGTCTATTCTGTGTGCTTCCTTTAATTCGGCATCTGTCGCATCTGCATACTGTTGTTGTCTTTCTTTGAATGCTTCTCTGATCGGTTGCAGCTTTTCTTTCACAATCTTCAGGGTTCCGTCACAGTACTTGTTGATTTCATCAATGAATAGCATACGTTTCTCACCATTATGATTTAGATAGATAAGCGTGATTGGTCTATCAAAAATGTAATACTCAGGGAAGTCCTCAAGTTCTTGTCCATACAGCTTTGGCTTTGTGAGATTTGTCTTTGGCATGTTTGTTTCAAGCGCCATCTGAAGATCATGAGAGGCAAAGAATTTGATTTGTCTGAGCATAAAGCGCTTGAGTGCGTCCAGCCCATTCTGTGTAGTTGTGTCACGAGTGCCCGGAATTTCTTGAAATGCAAGATACATCTGATATATGTCATCCATTTTTAGCATATAGAGATCATTTTCTTTGCACGTGAATTCTGTTCCGTCAGACCGTTGTAGATGGTAGACAGAGAGTTTGATGTCTTGGGAGTTTGTTTCACCCACGTTGAGAATAGCCCAGACTGGGTTTTTGGCAGTTTGAAGTTCGTGTTGCCAGACTTCTCTCTGTTGTCCCATATAGTGATGACTGAGTAGAAATAGTTGTCCGCCCTTGTTTTGTCCTCGTAGATGGTTAAGACCACAGATCTTCAGTTCATCCAATTCTCTGACCTTGTCCTCTTTTCGCCAGATGTTTTCTCTGATTTCTTCTTGAAAGGGGGCATTGATGTCGATCCTTTCCCAGGGCTTCTCATTTCTGGGCATTTGAGCCGCTGTTTGTCTAATGATTGACTCAAGCTCCTTGGGTGGTGTCTCGTAGTTTTCTCCCTCCTTGAGTTCGTTTCGATCAAGTAGAATCACGTCAGTAGCGCAGTTGACTAAGAGATCTCTGAGGTATGTTCTTCGCTGTGCTTCATCTACATCTGTCCAGAGTTCAGACCATTTGTTATGCACCAGCATTTCCTCAAGTTCATCGTGCATTTGATCATTGTAGTAGCTAGAGGGAGCTTGCTGCTGTGTCGAAGGTGACTCATCGTGTGAAACACCGGGATCCTCAGGATTGCCCGTTGACATCAGTTTCGAACTAGGTTCTAGCTGATGGCCTGAATAAGAAGATGTACTCGTGGTAGCATCATCTGGACTTCCATTCCGTCCTTGGTTAACATCTATAGGAGATGCACCTCGGGATGTTATGCCTAGCTCGACCATGCTAGAAAGAGTGGCTAGGGATTTATGGCTACCTGAAGTAGTGGGTTGCTCATTGGTGGAGGTAGAGGGTTGGTTTGGCTTTGAGGGTTGGCTAGTAGAAGCAACATGCTCAAGTATCCGCTGGCGCTTGTTCTCCCCCTCATGAGAATCCGAATCATCAGGATCCTCATGTGAACGTTTAGCGCCACGGAGACTGTCACGGCAAGTGTTCTGTGTATCTAGAGCATGGAGAAGGGCTTTTTGAAGAGGGGTGAGGTTGCCTTCTTCCACGTCTAGTATACGGTCGTAGATCTCAGCTACAAGATCCTCGAAGGGTACGGTTGTTAGGTTAGGTTTGGTCGTTGTAGGGGAGAATACTAGTTCTGTATCCTGGGTTCCCCTTGATGTGGATGGTTGTTGGTTTTCTATAGCTAAGGATTTGGAAATAGGAATGGAAATGGTTGGGGGCTGTGTTGTTTGAGGTTTGGGTGGTATATCCTGAACAACTGGGGTACTTCCAGAGTCTTGTGCATTAGCGGTTATTGCTTCATGCACCCATGGCTTAATGGTAGACTCTAGAAAGCTGTTCAGATATACGAGAATGTCTTCGGGGATAATGGCACCAGTTACGGGGGTTGTAACTGTTGTCACAGCATCAGTGAAGATAGCTGATGTGTGGCCTGCGTTCAATGATTGAGGCATTGTTGGCGTAGCAGGGCTTCCGACCATCATAGTTTGCACTCCGGTCGTTGCATTCAGGGTGAGTGCACCTGTATGTGCAGTGAATAGTGTAGGTGTCCTAGAAAAATTCAAAAATGTAGGAATGGTGACACCTAGACTCGAAGTGATAGAACGGATGGGGGTAGTGGTCCGGGGCTGTTGACCACTAAGTCTCTCAGCAGATTCGGAAGGAATCAGTGAGGTCGGTGTAAGTTCCCCTTGAGATATTGAAACTCCAGTCTGTTGGGAGACTGGAGAGTGGATGGGAGATGGCTGTGCATGCGCAGTTGAACCAGATGCTGCGACTTCTACCCGGGAACTGACAAGGTCAGCTCCTGCTCCTAGGGGCATGGTTCGGTCTATGGTGACAAAGGTGTCGCAGTCATCGTATAGTGCCAGCTCCTCCTCCACTGCACTCTTCTTTCTTAGCCTCTTCTTAGGCTGTGATGATGCAGATTTGTCGTTGTTGTGTTTGGGGCGCTGCTCACTGATGACAATGCCCTTAAGTGGTCGGGACATGTGAACAGCCTCTTCATTGTCCGATGAGGAGTTGGAGTCTATCGGAATGGCTCTCTTTCCGGCTCTTTTCCTGTTGCTGATCAGAACTCCCTCCATGTCATCATCATCATCTGCATCATCATCATCATCATCTCTTCGTTCATTCCCTTTGGCCATGCTATCGGAGGCCTCACCACCAGCCTTATTAGAAGGGGCCTGGCTAGATGGTTCATTGGCAGTGTCCTCAGCATTAGGGTGGCCCTCAGCAGTCTGGGTCCTCTCGGAAGAGTTAGCAGACTGATCATCATTAGGCCGGGTTGCCACTGGTTTCTGTGGCGGGGCTCTCTTCTTCTTACCCTCACTTTCTCTCGGCTTGGTTCCCGGGGAAGGTCCAGCTGGGTTTTGCTGAACCATAGGAACCGTTCTCTTCAACGACTCTTTGTAGTCAATGACTGCCTTATCCCTTGGGTTTGCAAGGTCAAGTAGAGAATCCGGGATAGGCAGTGCTTCAGCTTTATTGCTGTCCCTCTGGAAGTACTTGAGTTTTGGAGCGGTGAAGTGCTTGTCTTCCTTGCGATTAGGGATTGTGGGGGTGGCTTCCATCATATTGTGGATCATCAGCGCCAGCCACCGAGCGTAGGGAATAGTGCTCCCCTTGTTGTTTTCCTTCATCTTCACTTGATCCATCAACTCCGTCCAGAAGAGCTGAGCCATGTCATATTTGACGTTGAAGGCGATCCCGTGGAAGATTTGGAGAATTTGTTTGTTGCATTTGTCATGTCCGGCGTGCTTAGGAGATAGACACTTGTTCACCAGGCCGAACAGACTCTTCCACGGGTGGGGCAGGTTTGAGATGGTAAAGTTTGAGATCAGGGGTAACGGTCCTTCATACCCTAGCTTCTTCATGTCTGTGATCAGATCTTCATTGGAGGGAAGCGGTGCATAGTTCTGGAGCACCGGGAGATTCAGAGTCTCCCTTATTGTAGAGGGTGTCAGCACCGCTCTTACATTATTCAGCTTGGTCATGATCTTAGACCGATCTTTCTTGCTCTCAGTTCGCATGCAGCCCCAGAATTGCTGCAGGTATATCATTGGTACTGGTTTGGCTTCGTTGAATGCGGTCCAAAGGTAATGTTTCTGCAGGATTGAGAGAATGACTGGGTCCTGACACTTGAAAAGCTTGAGGTCCAGTTGGAAGTTGTTGTCGTACAGTGGGACCCAGTTCTCTTTTGGGTACAATTCATTGCCAGATTGTGCTGTTCTGTCTGTTCCTGACATGATTGACTGAAAGAAATGGGTCAGCACAATTGTTTATTTGAAAATTTTATTTTTGTTCTGTTTTTGCAATTTTCAGATTGGGTGTGTATTGGTGGGACCTCGTGAAAGTTTCTGAGTGTAAACCACGAGATCCAACTTCTCGAGGTTTGAATGTCGAGAAGTAGGTTCTCGATGTGTAAGTACCGAGAAGCTCTTCTCGATACTCAAATATCGAGAACTTGGTTCTCGAGATGGAAGTATCGAAAAGTCCTTCTCAATATCGAAACATCGAAAACCCTTTCTCGAGGTTTAGTATCGAGAACCTCTTCTTGGTATTTCAAGATTCGAGAAGTAGGTTCTCGGTATTAAACATCGAAAAGACTCTTTTCGAGGTTTAATATTGAGAACCGAACCTCGAATTTTGAAATATCGAGAAGTTTATCTCGAGTTCCAAACATCGAGAAATTGAGTTTCTCGAGTTCGTACTCAGAAAATATGTCGAGAACCACCTGCAAATACACATTTCAATAATGATAAAATCCAAAACTTTTCGATTTTCAAAATTTCAGTTTTTCGAGAAACATATAGTTCTCGATATTCCATTGCGAGAAGTTTCCTTCAAGTTTTGGATTCGAGAACTTGTATTAAGTGTGAAAACTTTCTTGAGGTTTATTCGAGAACCATATTACTACCTCTTGATGGATTTGAGGTGAGTTGAGAAGAAAGATTGCGAAGAAGATTTTGCTCTTGGACTTCGAGAACTGAGATTGCGAGAGGATGAGTATTCTGGTTCTCGAAGTCTCTTTTATACGCGAGAAAATCATTTGGGCCTTGTGAGAAAATAATCTGGGCCCAAAAGTTTGAAATGGGACCTGGTTTTGGTTTAAAGTTTGTTTTTGGTCCCCAAAGATTTACTTTTGAAAAAATTTCAAAAACTCCCCCTCAAATTGTGCATGAAAAAAAATGAAAAACCCACACACACACACTCTTTTTCTTTCTTTTCTGATTTTCTACACACACTTACACACACACTCTTTTTCTGATTTTCTTCTTTTCTCCCCCTCAAAGTATTCCTCTCTCTCTTATTTTCTCCCTTTTCTCCCCCTCAACACATGCAACACACACCACACACACACTCATTTTATTCAGACCATGGAGATAACATAATTACATAGGATCGAGATTCAACATGCCTAACTTAGATACTAGAAACTGGAATCTCTTGTCATCCAGTGCCTTAGTAAATATGTCAGCCAGTTGAAGCTCAGTGCTTACAAAGTACAGATCAACATCTCCTTTCTCCACATGGTCCTTGATGAAGTGATAGCGCAAATCGATGTGCTTGGTGCGCGAGTGGTGAACGGGGTTGCTGGTTATGGCGATTGCACTCTGGGAGTCACTGTAGATGGGAATATGGTTGAATAGGAAGCCATAGTCTCTAAGTTGTGTCCTCATCCATAGGATTTGTGAACAGCAACTAGCAGCCGCAACGTATTCTGCCTCGGCTGTAGAAGTTGACACGCAGTTCTGCTTCTTGGAGGACCAACAGACTAGCTTCTCTCCCAGAAATTGAGCACCACCGGATGTGCTTTTTCGATCTAACTTGCAACCTGCAAAATCAGCATCTGAGTAACCAACAAGGTCAAAACCCGTGTCCT